CACCCAACTAAAATAAGTGCATAACTGAAGAAACAAGTTAATATAACCCCAGTACACAGAAGAACTTGGCAGCCTTGTGACAAGCCAGTGGCACAAGTGCGGACTAACTGGAATACAGAGGTGCTTGAAACAAGTTTTCACGTGGAAGTAAACTACCTTGCATACTATAACASTCTGAATGGCTTTGAAAGTCAACCATACCCATGGCTTTCTGTACTCATTCCCATTTCTTACAGCTTCCTATGGATAAGCCTAAAAGTTTTAGAAAGTTGACTTGCTCTTAGCATTAACTCACACATCTTAACACTCATTTTTCTTCATAGAAAAGCAGGTCTTCTTCAAGTTAGTATTTAACTAAAATGCTTAATCTGATTTCTCCATCCTCTTGGGGACTTGTATACACTTTATAAAAAGTTAGAGTTCAGTTCCTCTCAAGGAGACACACAACATTTTAGTAACAAATGTACATAATACAAGTCTTATCATTCAACTTCTGAAAGCCCGTAAAGCATGTTTAGAACACTAAAGTACAATGACTTCTCTTCTGTTTGGCCAACTTCATAGACACACGCTGCCAGGTAAAGCCTACTTCAATTGTAGTAAATATTTTCCAAAAGAAATTCTAATAAAATCCTGGAAGAAGGATTATAATACACCAAAGTTCATTCAGAATTCCTCAGACAAAACTTTAAAACCAAATTGCCATTAATCACATTCTTCATGAGAAGCCAGACTCAAGTAGCCCTCTATGAYCTTTACCACTCCTGCCCTCCAGCCAACTGCATGTTCATACAGGCTGATGTGAGTGACAGTCATCGTTAATGTGATCACAGAAGCAGCATCTAATACTGCTCAGTTGCTGGTCTTACTAGATCAGGTCAAAAGTTTCTATGATGCAGAAAATCCTTTAAGCATTCTTTCAATATCACTTGACAGCTTCATCAATATGCCACATACACCTTCTGAGCATACTGTGGTCAGTGCAGTACTCACTAAAACAGCATGCTTGTCAAGTAGGAATCCCTGTGTGTTGAAATAGACTGTAAAAGCACTTTCCTATGGTTAAGATTTTTTTGGTTTGCATTTCTTTACCACAATGACTCATTCTTACCTCCTATTTATTTTTCCAATCATTTATGCCCTGTGATCAAGATGGTTAACCTGGTTCCAACACTTCCACAATCTATCCAGAAAGATGTTTTTCATTACTTCACACATCAAGATTAAAAAAAAAATAAAAATAAAAAACAAAACCAACAAAACACAAAAACCAACCAAACAAAAAACTCAAGAGTTATGCCTAAGGGCAGCTAAAGTTCTTGCATGAACATGCATATAACCTGTTCAGCTTCTTTCAGAATGCTCCTTTATTTATGCTGTAACCATGATAATTTGACAGTGACTGATCAGTCTTACTCGCAAACTTTTCCATTACTTTTATTCAAGAAGTTACAATCTCTGTCTAAAAACTAAAATGTCTATCTCTGAAATACAAAAGTCTTGGCGCAACAGTAACCTTCTCCCCTCTTCACTTTACATCCCCTCCCCTTTAATGTTGCTGCAAGAATTTGCATTACTTTGTACCTTATAACAAAAGGGCTATTTTCAGCAGAAAAATAAAAAGCATAGGCAAAGTAACACTGTCATGCTCTATTTGACAGAATTATCTAATCACAGAAAAAAAGAAAAAAGTAAAACCAAAACAAGCTCAGCTAGTACAAGAATTTGAAGTCATCCAGTAACCTGCTGCATCGCAATACACAGCGCAATTTCCATCATTTTGCCTACAATCACACCAGAAGCCAGCACAGTATCTGCATTATGATCTTTAGCTGACGCACGAACTACATGGTCAGCTTTTATTGACTTCGGTACAAAACCTCAGAGTGCAGCACCCAGCTCTTTAAGGAAAGCTTCTTATGATGAACTATTACGTACAAGCTTTGATCTACTGAAAATAATATCCCTTTCTATGCTTAAGGGTTAGATTTTAATTCAACAGCCTTTTAAAATGCWTCAAAATCAATTCAGAATGCAAGCACAATATTGCTTGCAGGGAAGTCACATGTAACATTACGTACCATAAGATTCAGATCACTTCAAGAGATCTAAAGCCGTTTGTCTTGCACTGTCTCGTTTGTCTAACCAGCAGGCAAAGTTATCTACATGAGCTGTTGAAAGCCAGAAGAGAGCTGGGCTGATGAGTTAAAAGAGAATGACTATCACATGCTCTGACACTGTGATACACTTCAATAAAGCACTTTAGAGAATACTGTCTATGACTGTAGAAGCCATCTTCAACCTGGTTCGTTAACTAATAACTTCAATATGAATTGGTTAACATCCTCGGGTATTTAGAAATATTCCTGACTGTACACATAAACAGTTGCAGAACACACTCCCAGGATGAGTACTTCAGCAGCTTTAAGACCATCAGATAAGCCTTATGGATACTAAGACACACTTTATTTTACTAATTAACTCAGAGATGTCACATGCTAAGAGAGTCCAAATTGCTGCTGTCAMACTAAGCATAGCCTAATCAAAGACCAACATTACCTCTCTTCTAGGTCCTATTTTTTTTTTTCAATGGGGAAAACAAAATATCCTAAACCAGTAGACTGAGTGAAAAATGCAGAACAGTTGTATTTTCCTTTTTCATTTTTGCTAGGGAAAGACTAGTCAGGGGTTTCATACTAAAGTATTGTAAAAGAGGAAAAATATTTCAGTGAGAGGAAAAATTTTAATTTTTCAATCTACCAATTTAGCACTAGTCTCCAGGGATTTATCAGGAGCTCTTAACTCAGTCTTCACCTAGCAGCATCAAAAAATACACTAATGGAAAGAATCAAGAATGAAAAGCACTGTCTTCTGGATCTTGCCATTAATGCACAGATACATTGATAGAACTTTCCAAACTGTAAATAGGTTCTGTCGAAACTTTGTGACAAGTTACAGTCAAGTTTCTGCTTATCCTATTGAAACAGATTGGTTTTGCAAAGCACACAGCCTACCCCAGTCTCAGCAACGAAGGGCTGAGAAGTCAAASACAAGCATGGCAACCTGCCAAACCCCAGGATCCCAATAGCCTTCCCTCCTCACTCTTTGGAACTCCAGGCTTGCTAAAATATACCCAGACGATTGCAGCATTTTGTGCTGATACTGTTAATTGAGTCACAGAAAGTTAAAGCTGATTCATAAAAGGAACACATCAGAAAAGAAAGCTTGCCAACATTTTACTTGCTCTTCAAAACAGCAATTAGAAAATATTTTCATTTGCCCTACAGGCCAGCAACAGAAAGATCCATGGTCTCTTTCAGCATATGGCACTRAACAGGCTTTTTAGTTTGAGGATTCATATTTGAAGTGTTTTGGAGCAAGAAGACCAGAAGCTGATTTACAGCTGGTCTGTCACAGGGTTATGGCAGCCACATGTTACACTTCCTCATTTCTGAGCTTCCCCTGGTAAGAGTAAAGTTCATGGAAACAGTAACTACCAGGTTTTTAACCTGTGTCTTCCATAGCATGAGCTTAAACATCAGCATTTGAAATAAAGTCTACCATTTCATATCCAAGGAAATATTCTGAGGGTGGTGGATAGGGATAAGGGAGCTGCAGGTTATCACCTGATTGCACACAAAACTAGAAATGCAATACCAATCAAGGTGATTACAGAGCCGAAGAGGGACAGACTTCTTACAAGACTGCAGCAAAACAGAGATTGTTCGGGCGCATTTAACACCACAGCATAAGGAAAGTAAACCATGGTAGGTATACAGTTGGAGTCATGGGAACAGAGATGTTAAAAGAACACGTTTGAGTTACATATAGGAAAGGAATAATGCATGGTTTGAACAAGTGAACAGGACTTTTCTGCTTCCATGTGCTCAAAGTATCTTTCTCATACACAAACTTGCGATTTTAATGTACAACTTAGCATAACAGAGGTTCCATTCCCTCACTCTACGCAGAAGGAATGATAACTACTTTTAATTAACCAGGTRACTCCAAGCATGCAAAGTTTAAGCATTCTTCCTTTGAGGACAATTTTAGCTGTTTGAGTTACCTTTACCCTGTATAGCATGGTGCATTAGACGCATTACAGAGCTATAACCCTGAATTAATTTCAACAGTAGCCATAAGCAAGGSCACCACCGCCCAGACAAGCAGATCAAGAGGGGCAGTATGAGCGGGGACACTCCGGGAGCCCTGGATACAGAAGTCAGAACAGAGCAGCTGTTTGAGGTCTGCTACAAAACCCCGGGCCAAGCAAAGAGCCCCACAAAGAACGCTACCGGGAAAGCGCAAAGCCTGTAAAAAGCGAAAAACTTCACTTCCACATCAAGACCTCCAACTACTTATGCCTCAAAGGCAAGAATGAAAGGTTGCTGATAAGACGAGAAACAAGAAGACAGATTCCACAGCCAAAACACGCTTTTCTCCGCAGAGGCCGTRCGCCGGGCCCCCGACAGCCAGGCTCACAGCGCCCTCGGGGCGCACCCTGCAGGGAGCAGCCYGCTCCGTCCCGTACCTGCAATATCCCACAGCTGCAGCCGCACCAAGGTCTTGCTGTCCCAGTTGATGACTTTGAGCGCGAAATCCACGCCGATGGTGGCCCGGTAGTGCTGGGAGAAGAGCTGGTGCACGTAGCGCTTGATAATGCTGGTTTTGCCGACGCCCAACTCTCCGATCACCAGCACCTTGAAGAGGTGCTCCCGGCACTCCGGCACGCCGCATCCCGATCCTTCCCCGCCGGCCATCCTCGGCCCTCCCTCCCTCCCGAGGAGGCCGGGCTGTCGGGGCCGCGGCTCTCCCGCTTCTAAACTTTCCCAGCCACCAACTTTCCTCCAACTTTCCCCAGCCGGCTCCCCGCAGGGCCGGCCCTCGCCGGGCGGGGGAAGACGGAGCGGGACGGAGAGTGGGAGGGAAGCAGGAGACTCCAGCCACCACCTGACTGCAGTCACAGGACACGGAAACTCCGCGGGCTTATAGCGGCCCGGGGGAGGGCGGCGGGAGGGGCCGGGGGAGGGACCCGGCCCGCCCCGCCGCTCCGGGACACCGGGTGGGAACGGGAAAGGGCCACGGCGGGAGGGAGCGGGAAAGGGCCAGCGTGGGAACGGGAAAGGGCCACGGCGGGAGGGAGCTCCCCGGCGGCTGCTTCGGGCGGGCCGGGCTGGGCTGGGAGCGCCCGGGCAGAGCGGGACGGCCGTAGCGGGAGCTCAGCTTCTAAAGAGGACTTAGGCCGGGGAAGTTTCACTTCCTTGACGGTGCCATAATTTGCTACCTTCTAGTAGCGGTGGCAGCGAAGTTTTCTCCCGGTGAAGTCTCTGAAAGTACCCGGGCTCGCTCCCCACCGTGTAGCAAAGGGTATTCTGTGGCAGAGAGGTTCGTGGGACAGAGGAATTTATTAGGATGCAYAGCAATAGGAGTGTTCCAGTGGCCGGGCCGGCACCCAGTCTCCTCTCTATTCCCAGCAGCCAGCCTGGAGACTCGGGGTGCTGTGCCCCGGCTGCCTCCCCGCCCTCGCAGGCCCTGCAGTGCGGCCTGGCTGCGTGTGGGCAGAGCCGGGCCCGGCCGGGGCAAACAGGGCATGGCACTGCGGGGAGGGCAGGGCAGGGCAGAGCCCGGCCGGGGCAAACAGGATCGGGCACTGCGGGGAGACATGGCCAAGCCGAGCCTGGCCGGGGCAAACAGAGCCTGCAGTGCGGGGAGGGCGGGGCAGACCCGAGCCCGGCCGGGACAAATAGGGCCGCGCCGAGACGGCTGCAGTGACGCAGCGATGGCTGCTSTGCGGAAAAGGCATGGGTGACCAGGGAAGAAACCATCTCCTCATCTGCAGGATTCCTGTCAAACACCTGCAGTTATATTTGGTTCCCTCCTGTTCCTTAATTCATCGATTTTCTTTTTTTAATCGCTCTCTGGTTATTTTAAAAATTACACCGGACAATTACAGAATCCCAGAATTATTTGGGTTGGAAGGGTCCTTACAGATCATCCAGTCCCAACCCCCCTGACATGGGCAGGGACATCTTCCACTAGACCAGGTTGCTCAAAGCCCCATCCAGCCAGGCTAGAACAAGTCCASGGATGGAGCATCCRCAGSCTCTCKGAAACAGACACTTTGTTAGAAAYCAACATGAAACGAATTTCCCGTCCTTAGGACCATGTAGTAGTACCACGTATGTTGACYATAAGTGCTTGGAAAAGATTTGATAACATGCTCTCCAAGTGAAACACACACCCCCAGGTGTCTGTGCCTGCAACAGGAGGTTGAAGTTTTGTGGCTYAGTGGTACTATCTCCATGCTGTAATGTTTTTTTATCATGTAAATACCTAAACAGAACTACTTAGTGCTTGAGAGCAATGACAGCCCAAAAGGGAAATGTTATGTGGCTGTCTAGACAGCATGTATGTACAGAGACAGATAACCCAGGAGAAGATCTGGTTAGCAGATGAGGGGATGCCCCCAGAGGGAATGAAAGTAGTGGTTAAAATATATGATAATTGATCCATCAAACAATCCTACTGATACTGTAATAGTTCTTTGCACATACTAAGTTTTTTGCTATGCTTTAAATTTGTGTGTTCAATAAAATGATCCAGACATCTTCAGGTGGCTTTTAGAGAATGTGTATTTCTATGTCACACAAAGATGGTCCATGCAATGTGGGTGGGAGTGGGTGAAAAGAAGAGCTATTTGGCAAAATATGGCAAACMAAAAAAAAAAGGCAGCATACTTGGCGAAAAATTGTGTTTGGAGATTTTAATTTAAATTTGTTAATTTGTCATGCTGTATTAGCTCCATTATAATTATTGTAATTAGTATTTACTTTCCCAGCAGTAACGATATTAGTGTATAAACTAGGGGAAGACTATAACTTAGACATTAGAGTTGTTTCTTTTCTTGATGGAGGGTGGCACAGGGTAGCACAGATTCCTGTCAAGAAATGAGACAAAGAAGTGAAACTGTCCTTATCTGGCAGGTTGAAAATGGGCGTGAGATGACACTACTTCAGGTACAGGTACTTTAACCATTATGGGTTCTGGTAAACCTCTCTATCTGTACCTAGCCTGAAGTCTGTCTGTTTGGTCACAACTGTGGTCCACTGAGGCAGGGAATTTGGCTGGCATGTACTGAAATTTCTACCTAGATAGGTGTCAAAGTTTTCCTTTGTCTTGCAAAAACCGAAGTGGGATGGAAATGAATTGTCACATGCTCACATAAGAGTGYAGCTGGGGTCTAGAATGAATGCAAAAGCCTTGTTCCTCAGGCTTAGATGTAGTCTTTGTGCCTTCATTTCCCACCACTGAGACAGTAATTACATTACTTTCCTAAATTATGGGAGAGTTATATTAATTGATTACTAGGTACATTCTGGAATTACATGCCAGGATGTGGAATGCTTGCATGTTGACTGCAAGCCTCTGATAGCATTAGATAAATTGTCTTTCCTTGCATTATAGCTCCCCATTATTTCCTCCATCCCTCCTACTCTTTTTTTCCCCCCCTTTTTTTTTAAATACAAGAAGGCAAGAGAGATATTCTGGTTTTGGTTGGGATAGAGTTATTGTATCAACTAAGTGAGCTATYGTTAACTGTACTATTGATAGTAAACTGAATACAAGTACTTCAGGATACCTAAGTTTTATCTCAACTACAAAAGAAGCATGTAATTTAATTTTTTTTTCTCACAGACTGATTTTGAGCAATTAGAACCAACATCAAAACCAAAGAAGTCAATAGAAGTCATCATCTGCTCACAGAAGTCAGCATAAAAAAAAACAAGGGCAAAATGTGACTGATAATTTGCCATGATTAATAGTTTAATCAGTACTAATTACATTGCATAATGCCAAACATGTAGCAGTAGATCTTGCCTGAACTAATAATTTGCCTTAATTTCATTAATATTAATTTTCATCAAGCTGGCGAGGACCTGTGTGAAACAGCTTGGAAAAATTCAGTCATTTACAGTCCCGTGTCTCTGGGGCAGTGCAATCATGTATGAGATTATGGAACAGAACATAATCAACACCCACCTAGTGCAGAGTAGGTAATCTTCATATTGTGARCTAAATTTCTGTGTCACTTGGTCTTTTACATGCAATTCTACTCTTTAACTGACTTCCCTTTGTCACTTAGATGTCAAAAAAAAACCTTCTATTGACCAAGGGCTGTTGACATTATGGTACCATAATTGGGATAACATCATCATATTTTATCTTCAGTTACCTGCACTAGGAGACCAGGAAAGGGTTATTTTTGGCCATATTACCTAGCTTATCTGGTTGGTTGCCTTTAAATGAGATGTGTGCTTCATATTTCAAATACGAAATAAAAACTGGTTTTGGTGGGTTTTTTTTTTGGTTTGTTTTTTTTTCTTTCTGTGCACTGGAAGTCTCAGGAATGAGGAAGAGAAATGTGTATCTTACAAAACAGGCTTTTGATACTCTCTTAATTGAAAGATTGAAGTGAATATTTTTTTTCTTTTTTACTATTGCTGTTTGTTGATATCAGCCTGCCCACTCAATGGGTTCCTTTGCTAAATTATTTTTATCCATGTCAGAACATTCGCTTCCAACAACAGCTGGATTTAAGGAACTGGCTGGTCACTGGAAATGGTACAGAAATTTTAATAGCCTCATGATCACCACACAATGAACTGATGAAATAGTTTAACTTGTAAGACAACACTGTAGCTTCCTATTTTTCTGATCCGTGATGTCTTTTGTATCTGTCTTACTTCAAGACTRCTTCTTCTGATCTTTCCCATGTTAGTCTCTCTTCCACTTCCTCTACAACACCATTTTGCCTTATCTCCCGTGTTCATCATACCAGCTTGTAGTTTTTTAACCACTTCCCTTTTTGCCTTGTTTTTCTTTGGGTTTTTTTTTTCCCTGTATTTTTCTTTCCTTTCCCCTGCATCTTCTTTTTCTCCCGACCTCAGTTTAGGGCTTTCATTTTTTGCCTTTTTTTATGATTTTGTTCTTTCATACTTGCTTTCTTGTTCCTCTGAATTTTTTCTCCTCTGAAGTGAATGAGAGATTTTTCATGTTCCTACTTGTCAGCCAGTGGTGARAAAGGGATGGCAGCAGGTTCAGCCAGTTAGACCAGGAAAGCTGCAGGAGGCACATTCTTGCCTGAAGCAGAGGGATGCATTTAACTTCGTCTGCAGTTGTGCTAGAAGTCGAATTCATAGCTGAAGGGGTGGTGTGAGTAGCTGAAAAAGTGGAAGAAGTACGACACATGGACAATTCCCTGTGTACAATAGGAAGCAGCACAGATGACTGAATGCTTTCATTTAACAGTGGGTTTTGAGGGAAATGTCCCAAAGTACTACCTTTAGTGATTGTGGCATACAAACAGTAGAGATCAAAGTAGAAATGGAAGTCAGGGGGCCTTTCATAAAAATGCTTCTGTGATCAAGTAAAACATTGGACAGTAATGCATGTACACAAGAGGACTGAATTAATGTTAACTGAAACTTAGAAATGAGTTTTCAGTCTGCAAATTCATGCCTAGATTTTCCCCACTGAAAATGTTGTCCATCAGCTGTATGACAGCATGAACAGAAAGCTTAAGATTGTGTGTTAGCATGAGCCTGCCCGGGGCTTCACTTCCTGCCAGGCAATATGACACACTTGWCTCCCAACCACAAATTTAACTGAGTGATGCAGGCTTGAACTTGTAATACATCCACAGCCTGCATACAGGAGAGTTCTACTGATACTTGAAAGATGTAGTTGGAGTGATTTCTGTGTCAGTTGTAAAATATATCTCAGATGCATGCATAAAAAACTATTATTAAGCAACCGTAAGTATATCTTGCAAAATCCAGAAAAATAGATATTACTTTTTATTTTAAACTAGTAAAATWATGGTGTAAAAAGTGAAGTAATGAAAGGATCCTTCTGTCCAGAAGAGTAAGAGAAACCAGCCATGAAGAGGTCATGTCAAACAGTGACATTTGCCAGTCTTTGGCAAATA